AATGGCAGGCTGTCAAACACAAGGAGTGGCGTGCAGGTAGGAAATTGTTTTTATAACGGAAATAGCTGCTTTATTTTTCATGTGGTAAACTCCCTCATCAGCTCATATTGCACTCTGCTCAGCTCATTCTTCTACATAGAAGGAGGTACAGAGGTGTGTTTGTACATGTGTGCACAAGAAAGGAAACACAAAAAGCACATGACCAAACCAGTAGCAACCAAGAAGTCCACAAAAGAGGTTGTCAAGACAGCAGTATCAGGATCCAAGGCAGAGAAATAGGTGAGGCAATTTACAGGGCTGTGGTCAAGAACTGACTTATTCCAGTGACCTTGTTTTTGGCTCCACAAAACTAGTTTCAAGCACCAGTGCAGAGCTAATGCTTGCTTCACAATAGGAAGACCGATTTTTTTTTGACAGTCCAAGCAAGGATCTTCCTGTCTTGAGGAGTAAGAAGGCCTTACCCCCACCCCCCACTTCCCAGCCACCTACTTTAGTTTCTGCCCCAAACTCCTAGTGTGATAATGCACAAATCACGTACTTTCTACGCCTCTGTTTACATAACTGTAAGATAGAGATTTCCTTACCCAGCCTGGGAGAGGGTTGGGATGAGGAGTAGAAAGGACCTTTTGGACCATAAGTCCTTGCTGTTTCAGGCAACTGCATCATAAAATCCCATTCATAAACCTATCAAGCTCCATCTTAAAGCTAATTTTTTTTCACCCACCTTATTTTGACAGGAGGGGTGCAGTGGAAAGAAAGGGCAGCTAAGGCAGCTCACTGCCACTCTCAAAACAGGAAGTCGAAGCCTTGCTCAGGATTTGTGCCAAAGACTGTGCACAGCAGACCTGGTCATTCAGGGTGGGGTGTCAGAAGCAGACAGACAAGATGGTTCCCAATTCCCATCTCACCTCCTTGTGTGCCACTGGAGACAAAAACATGCGCCTTACCCACCCAGCCCCACAGGTTGTTAGGCTCAGGAGAGCTTTTGACTCCTGTTGAAAGGCTGTTGCAGAACCTTGCTGCAATGATAATTAGAAACCCTCCGATTCCCAGCCTAGATTTATGCACAGACTGTTTATACGCATTTGCTTTTCTACATTAGTCAGTATCTTCCAATGGAAAATGTTTTACAGGTGCCAGACTGTATTAGTTTCAATTAGATGTAGATGCAGTTAGATGCAGTAACTGGGAACCCAGCAGGTGCTAAAATCTGTAGTACTTAGTGTCAGAAGCATCTGTAGGTCTGTGGACTGTTGCAGATGCCAAAGAACACATGTGTTGGGGCAGGTGGTTGAGATGTTACATTCATGTGGATGCTATGGAAGAAAGGAGTAGTTCTTGAGCTTGGTTTTGCTCACCTGGGAGATCCTCCATATCACTGAGAACATATTTATCATCCCTCTTCCTTTGTATCATATCAGTTCTCTCCACAGAACAGGATGCTTAAGTGGACAGTGGTTGTATAATATTGAATGCAAAGGAGGAAACAGAAGGAACTGTAATGCAATCAAAGTTTTATTAGAAAGGGTTATACTGTTAAAGGAGAAATTGGCTTCCTAAACAGCTACAGAAATACAGCTACTTGCAGCTCTGTTTTAGTACCACATTTTTTTCTTCAAGGTTATGGGTTCCCTAGTCTTTAAAGCTTCCACCCCCTCTAGTGGCAATATTGTGGAATATGAGGAATATTCTGCTCACAAGGGATCTCAGTCCATAGGGAGAGAGGACACTGTCGAAAACTGGCTACACATCCAGAGGCTGTGACTTGTCTTGATCTCGCTACTTAGGCTTCCCCATTCTTCCACACACCCTTTATTTTTTCCACCAGTTGTTCAGCCATCACAGTGATTTTAGCAGTTTCCTTCATCAAAAGGTTCCTGCAGGAGACAATGATGTATTAGCAAGGTATGCAGATGAGCGTGGAAACCTCTCATTTTCAGTAGTCAAAAGGCTGCTGTTCCCTTGTCTTGGCCTATAAAGCTAATTTGGCCTGACAGCTTAGCTTAATAGTGTGAATGTAGAGCTCTACAGCGGTCCTGAAAAGACTCACTTCAAAAGGCAGGATAGGTCTGGGGACTTCTTGTGAATGGAATGGTACCTCTCAAGTGAGTGCACTTCTGGCTCTTGCTTGCCAGCATCCATTGCCTGAGGAATATTTACTAACTGAATCAATCCATCATGCATCCTAATTTACTCTCTGGGATTCCCTCTCTCAGACAGTTAAAAACAGACAGCACCAGTTCATGTGATTCCAGACAGGCCCAGTACAGCTGATTATGGATCATCACCCGTAAGTATTCAAGAGGGAGGAATTATACTTTGATGGATGGGATTAAGAATGTGTATTTTGCTCTGTGAGAGGTTGCTTGGTCTGTTCTTCCAAGGATCTTGGTCTCTGGAGAGTAACCATGTTTCCTTACTTTCCTTTCCTACCTCTAGTCAAATAAAGAATTCAGGAAACCATTTCATACCTTATCTCAGCGATGACTGGCATCCGAACAGCATCTACCAAGAACTGCCCAACCGTAGGCGACACTTTGTTCACGGATTCATATATGTAATATGCAATTGTGTCAGGTATGACCAGCCAGTCACGACGGACATGTCTCTTTTCAATTGTCTTCGCACTCACTTCTGGAGAGGAGAAGGGAAAAAGAATATTAAGCACCTCTAATGACCATTCTCATCAATGGCACCAAGTCCTTCACAGGTCTGCATTGGAAAGGTACTGTGTGGAAACTATTCAGGGACGCAGAGCCTCACACTAGAATTTCTGTGCACCGTGATTCAGAGGCCAGCCTCCAAAAATAAAGCCCATGCACGTAGTATTAGTAGCACCTACAGCCTGGAGGTGTGTAGCAGAACCTGATACAGCACACTACCACCAGTGCTCAAGCACCTCTGTGGACAGTAGCACCTACTGGGCAGAGCACTAGTACCAAGATAAACCCATCAGTCAAGAGGTGTCAGGGATTTTCAAGTGCAATGCACTCAAAATTGGACTCATGCTGCCAGTCATGGTGAAAATCCAAGTTTCAAGTTTCTGCCTTCATTTGTGGCTGGGATAGGCTTGTGTAAGAGTAAGTTAAATGCATATAAAGCTGAGGAATGTCCCAGATAGACTGAAGAGCTTTTGTCAGACTTACCAGAGAAACTGGTGCTGAGAAGCATTACAAGGGCTATAGCCACTGCCCTGGACAGAAGCATGGTTTGTAGTACAAGTTCAGAGCAATAGGTACAGAAACCTGCAGGAAGCACAAGTTAATCCTTTGATCGTGGCATATCTATTCAACATGTCACACTTAACTTGTAGCAGGCAGGGTTTTTTCCTTCCTATGAACATTCTGTTTTTTCTTTTCTTTTTCTATTAAATAGTCAAGCTAATTCAATACAAAATGATGATACAGTATTATTTTATTAAGTTGCTATATTAAAGGTGCATGGATAAGGAAAGCATTTGAGGTGCTTAACCAAAAATTATTTATCCTATAGAGGATCTAAATCGTCATGTTGCCAGACAGAAGCAAACTTCTAACCTGATGGGGAGTAACGATAACAATTAGCTTTCCACCTAAACAGACAGATAAAGTTTAAAAAGTAATATTGTAGGGGTTCTTGCATCTTCTCACATAGTACCTTCTTATTGCTGTTATTAGACATAGGAGACTGAATGAAATGGAACAATGGACTGGTCTAATCATTTTTGTTTCTACAACAGGGAAAAGATGGGAGCAGAAATCCAGAAGGGTTTCATCTGTCCTGTTTATCCTGGGATTTGCTAGAAGCTTATGCAGCTAGCAATCAGCATTAATAGTGCACAAAAACATTAGCATTGTTGCAGTTAGCAAAGCAGTACTAGAACTGCTTCCTTTTCATCCAGTCTCTTCTCTCTCAATACTTACTAGAGGATCTTTGGAAAACCAGTATTACAGGAGTCAAAGCCAGAAGGTTAAAGTTAACTACACTTTTTCAACTATTTGGACCTAACAGAGTAATTTACACTGGAGCAAATTAACGCTGTAGTCAAGTTACATCACCTCTGGACATATGAACAAGTCACTAAAACTAAGGCATCTCATGGCAGGAAAGGTGGTTGGGCTACCTCCTGAAAAGACTAGGTTTGCTAAACTTGTGCCAAATGGCTACTAATCAAGGCTCATGATTAGTGTACCAGCAACTGCTTGCTGTTAGTATACATTTCCTAACCTTAGATGCTATTCCTTTAATGGTACCTAGGCAGCTGATAACTGCTATCTAATGCTTACAGATAGAAAGGAAACCAAGTGAACTACTTTTTAATCTTATGGCCAGATTTTCTCCTGCAGACCTGAGATACCATTTGCACCTTGGTCTGTCTCCTCCTGCCTTGGACCTGCAATGAAACACATTAGTAGGTTCCTGTTCCTAGTAGATGAATTTCATCCTCCCAAATTTATAGACTATTACTGCCTTGGAAATAGGGAAAAGAGCTAATAGCTTGAGTAAATCAGACCTTTGCCAGAGGAAATTGGGTATACATAGCCCCCTAGCTCTACTGACTTTTGGATGTTCCATATATACCATTTAGTATAATTCACACAGCTGGAAACCACAGGCTGAATTTGCTCTTACCTGTCTCTTATAGGCAGAGGAAGGAGAAGATGCTCATCTGGAATCTAAGTGATTATGCCACGTTAATATAGAGAGAGCAGGGGTCAGAGGTCTTGCTTTTTCCACATTAGCTCTTTTGCAATGAGACTTGGCAGGGTGGGATGGGCAGGAAGTGTAGAGTCCAGAGTCCTGCTCAGATTGGGATTTGGCAATGGAGGATCAGTGCAGCTGAGCCTGGATTCTGACCCATAGCAACACGGGGTCATCGAGTCCCTTGCTGCGGCTGGCGACCAGGTCAGACAAACCCTTCCACAAACTGATCAAATTCCATTTGACAAGTGTTTACTTCATGCTCTCCTTCTCCATTGAATGCCTCAGCAGGTCCCATATATTTTTTACTTTACCAATACTCGCTAACTATAATAAGCAATCAGATGCCTTTCTCCCATGAGGAAAAAAGAAATAGAGGGTTCAGTCAGCATTTAAGCTAACCTGTAACAATTAAAACATTGTTTAACTCCAAAGTTGCTCTCTTTGTAGAAAGCCTGAAGCATTTTAGGCACTGCCAGACATCCAGGTAGAGGTGCAATGAGATCTGATGTATGATCCACACAACCACACTTCCTGCCATGGCTCACTTGCAAAGCGTGGTTGGGGGATCCAGCATCAGATCTCGCTACACTTTATTGTCAGGATCCCCCAGGCTCCCAGCCGCAGGGGCACACATGGCCACATGTTCAATTATTGGCATCATAGCAACCAGCCACAAAGTTATTATGCATTTTTTGTGGAATATCTTTTGTAGCTTATTCTGTGTTTTGAGATACCATGAATTGCTTAGATGTGTGGTCGGACAACAATTTAAATTGTGATTAGCTGGATTGTCATGTCTTAAATGCAATGTGTGGCACAGGCAGGGGACATAGAGCCAGAAGTTTCCCCCATCTGTAAAAGAAAGACTAACAAACAAGACTCACCGGATATGTCTACATAATACACTAACAGCACAGTAGTCTAATAATACTGTGCAGTAGTACGTCACTGCACAAAACAATGCTAATATGCTACAGCACAGTAGTATTAGGATTATACAAGTACTAAGTTAAATGCGCAGTAACTACTGCTCATTAATAAACATGTAGATGCCCCCAGTGATTTGCAAAATGACTTGGCTAAAGTCACATCTTTGAAGAAGGCAGGTCTAAAATTTTTCATCAGTTGTTCCTCTTTGTGACTAAAAAGGGTTTTCATCTTTTTTTTTCCTTCACTATTTTTATTATTTGAAAAAACAAAGTTTTTTTCTAAAGTAAAAAAATTTCCTGGGGATGGAATGCAAATATTCCCCAACCCTGTCTAGTGGTGCAAGATTCAGAGCCAGATGAGAATAGATCCTCTGATTCCAGGTCTTCTCCTGAAAGCACATGACTACTTTTCCTGTTCTAAAAAGAAACAACAAAACATACAAATACAAAAGAGATGCCAGTCAGTTGTAATCCACTCTGAAAAATCCACGTAGTTAACATCTGTCTTTTCACTGGAGAGCTATAATAGTAGAACATTTTTAGAAGAATGATACAAGGCATGTTGTAGAAGCTAAACATAATACAGTACTTCAAAGGCTTGATCTGTACCATGGTGCTTACTTGGGGTATGAACAGTCTTACCCCTAACTCACCATTCAAAACTTGATCTAGAGATAAGTGTGGAACTTTTACTTAGAACAGTCTAGCCTGGCAGGGAGTATGGATTTCAGCAAAGGTTGCTAGAATTAGCAATAGAGTAGGGCTATGCAAAATTTCGCCTGGTGTTTTGTTTCAAAGCTGTTTCAATGCATTTCAAGCTCAAAACAGTGAAATCAAAATGAAACAAAAGCCTTCAAAACAGTTTTGAAACAAAACAAGGGAACTCAAAACGTTTAGAAAGTTTCGAGTTTTGAAACCAGACTTACTGGCTTCAGCGCCAGTCCCAGGTGGCAGCACCCACCTCCTGTCATCTGGCAGGCAGATTGGGGGCTCGCCGGTGCTGTGCTGGAGTCCTCCTGGGGGTACAGGCCCCTGATCTGTCTGCCAGATGAGAGAAGCCGGGTGCTGCTGTCTGGGACCAGCACCGGGAAGATTGCTGGTGCCGCTGGTCCCAGGTGGCAGCATCCGGCTCCTCTCATCCGGCAGACAGCTCAGGGGCTAGCCTGCATCTCCAGGAAGGCTGTGGGGGCTGTGCCGGAGTCCTCCTGGGGGTGTGGGCCGTGATCTGCCTGCCAGATGACAGCCCACACCCAGAGCCGGGAAGATTGGTCCTGCCGCTGGCCCCAGGCTGCAGCACCTGGCTCGTTACCCGGCAGGCAGATCGGGGGCGCACACCCCTGGGAGGACTCTGGCACAGCCCCTGCAGCCCTCAGGGGGTGCCAGCAGGCCCCTGATCTGCCTGCTGCTCCCTGCACCCCCAGGAGGGCTGCCGGGCCTGGACAAAATCAGCTGGTTCAGGGACCCTCCCCTGCCCCAGGATTGCGGGGGCAGGTCCCCTCATGAGCTGATCTGCCCCACCCCCTACCAAAACTAGCTGTAGGATTGGGGCGGTGGGTCCCTGCACAAGCTGATCTGCTCCAGCCCTGTACTGGAGCTGGCTCAAGGCAGGTGCTGGTCCCAGGTGGCAGCACTCGGCTTCTCTCATCTGGCGGGCAGATCGGGGGCTCACACCCCTGGGAGGACTCTGGCACAGTCCCCACAGTCCTCCTGGGGGTGCCAGCAAGCCCCCTATCTGCCTGCCTGCTGTATTTTATGTTTCCCCATAATAACCTAGGGGTGAAACATCGAAATAGTGTAGAAACAGCAAAACAGTTTTGATGAAATGGAACAGTGCTTTCGAAAGGAAATGAAACTTGAAACGAAACACTGTTCCATCGAATCGTCGAAACGGAAGTTGAATCAGAACGGTGCTGTTTCACACAGCCCTACAATAGAGCTCCTGCATGTGGCTCAGAAACTTGAGGCAGTTTGAATGTTTTGTACTGTTCTCATTCTTACTCGTTAGGTCCTTTCATGTCAGCTTAACACTGACATGAATAGCAGCCCCAAAACTTGTATCTGGGCCTTTCTCTTGCCAAGCAGGTGATTGCCAAGAGTGGGCTGATTGATTATTTTCAAACAATGCAAACAACAATTGCACAACAAACAACCCTTCTTGCTCCATTTTTGGAATGGTGCCTACATTCTGTGATGATGGGCATTCTGCAAGTTCTATTCTGTCAGAGGGAGAATGGGAGAGTTTTATACCACTTGTCAGATCTAAGGTTAGAGGGGAGCAGCTGCCAAGATCAGTATTCTGTGTCTTCTCATTAGTAAGATAAGAAAATTAAATGTAGGCAAAAGTACTGTAAGGTGGATACTTAACTAGTTAGGTCTTCATGCTCAATGAATGTTCATCGATGGCTTGATGTCTAATTGGGGACCGATATAGAAGCAGATTCCCCAGGGGTCTCTCCTGGGCCTGGTATTATTTAGCATCTTCATTTAAGATTTGGAGGATGGAATTGAGTGCACGCTTGGATATTTGCATAAGAAACCAAGATGGGTGGGGTTGCAAACACTTTGCAGGATAGGATTAGGATTCAGAATGACCTTGGGGAAAATGGAAATATGACTTGAAATTAATCAGATGAAATCCAGTAAGGATAAAGGCAAAGTCCTCCAGTGGAACAGAACAATCACAAGGATAAATTGGGGAATGAGTGACTTGGCTGCAGTACTGTAGAAAAGGACCTGGGGGTGAAAGTGGCTGAATGGGTCAATGGCATGTTCTTGCTGCAAGAAAAAGCTAATACAACCCAGTCTGCTGTTAACAGGTATGCCACTTCCATGTCCAGGGAAATGATTCTTTTGCTATTTTTGGCATTTGTGAGGCCTCTGGACACTGCCCTTCAAGAAAGATGTGGACAAATTGAAAAGAATCTGGCAGAAAGCAGCAAAATTTATTGTGGTCTGGAAAACATGACATAGGAGAAAAGTTTGGAAGAACTGGGAGCTAAGAGTTGGGAAAAGAGAAGACTAAGAAGGGATTTGATGACAGTCTTCAAATACCTGAAGGGTGTTTATAAAGCAGATGATGATGCACTATTATTTGTGGCTACAGGGGACGGTTAAAGGAACAACAGCCTTAAGCTGCAATGAGGAAAATGTAGGCTGGATATTAGCAGAGGCGGATCCAAGAGGTTGTGGTGGCTCAGTTGCCCCCCACCCCTTTCAGCTGATTCATTGGCATGTCAGCACCCCTCCTGCCAGAACTCTGTACATGCCATAGGCTCTCTGGCTCACCAGGTGATCTGCATGGGTTCTGATGCTCTGAAGCCCAGAAGGTATGAACTGCTGCTCCTCTACTCTTTTACCCTGCTGATTAATTGAACAGGGGAGGCAGGAGGAGTGGGAGAGGTGGGGTGGAAGGTAGGAAGCATAAACAGCAGTAGCACTCACCCTTCAGGCTCCAGAGCTGTGTGAAAGTAGAAGCTTTGGCTACAGCCCATGCCAATCAGCTGGTGAGCTCAGAAAACTTATGGCAATTGTGGAGATCAGCAGGTAAGGTCAAAGAACTCACTGCATACATGCCACATAAATCTGCAACCCTCTTGCTGCAATCCTAGATCTATCCATGGATGTTAAGAAGAACTTTAACTATGATTTCATAGATTTCATAGACATTAGGGCTGGAAGGGACCTCGGAAGATCATCGAGTCCAGCCCCCCGCCCGAAGGGCAGGAAGTCAGCTGGGGTCATAGGATCCCAGCAACATAAGCATCCAATTTACTCTTGAAGGTGTTCAATGTAGGTGCTTGAACCACCTCCGGTGGCAGGCTATTCCAGACCTTGGGGGCTCGGACAGTAAAGAAATTCTTCCTTATGTCCAGCCTGAAACGGTCTTGCAGTAGTTTATAACTGTTCGACCTCGTCATCCCTTGGGGTGCTCTGGTGAACAAACGTTCCCCCAGATACTGATGGTCACCCCGATAAACTTATAGGTGGCCATCAGATCCCCCCTGAGCCTGCGCTTTTCCAGGCTAAATCTCCTCCAACTGGTTCCTGAGCCAAGAGGCAGGAACTAGCAGGAGTAGCAGCTGGTCACACAGGAACACAAAATGATGGAAAAGAAGGGTAAGGAACAGATAGGATGGGATTCAGTGCACCCAGTTTCCCTAATCTGCCCCATCCTTCCAGCCCACCAGTTGAATACCCCACAGTGGCTTCTCAAGCCCCAAATAATCTGTTGTTGGAATCAGGGGCTTGGAAACCAGGTAGTTTAGTTTCCTATGAATGGAAGGGGGGTGCTTTTCACTGAAGAGTCTTTAGCAGACCAAGAATTTCTCTCTCCTTTTAAAGCCCTGACCCACCACTATTCATCTAGCAATAAACTCCCTCCTGGAGTTCTTGACATTTGTTCATGTCAGTGAAGTCACCAAAGTGACCTTCCTTCCCACAGCCTCCCTCATTCTCCACAATATATATAGGACCAAAGTCTAGGGTTACTATATTTCCAGTCCCAAAAAAAGGGACACCTGTCACACAAGGGTGGCGGGAGAGATGATTGGTGGGGCAATGATATGCCAGTGCCCTGCCCCTGCCCATTCTGTTGCCCCTCACTCCTAGCCCACAGACCGCTGGTCCTGCCAGTGTGCCTCACTCCTAACCCATAGTACACTGCCCTCCTGGGCCATGCTGGTGCCCCTCATGCCCGGTGTGCAGCCCCCTGGTGCTGCCAGTGCCCTGCACTCCCAACCCACAGCCGCCCCAGCCCTGCCAGTGCCCCTCATTCCTGACCCGCATTCCCCTGCTCCCTCCAGCCCTGCAGCGTCTCCCAGCTACCCCACCCCTGTGAGCAAGGGCACCGGCCCCAGTGCCATCGGCTGGGCCACACAGCTCCCTGCTGTCCCTAAAGGTGCCCCCCCTTCCCCTGCTGGAGGCACGCATTGGACCAGGTTACCAGAAGTGGTTGTTTAGTCCCCACATTGAAAATTTTTAAAGCCCAGGTTAGGTAAGTACTGAGTTGAGCAGGAGGCTGGGTTAGATGACCTCCTGCCGTCCCTTACAGCCCTATTTTTCTAAGATTTCTGCTACTCTGAAGGTTAAGAGAGTTTGCAATGACAGAGTCACATACTCACATTATGAAAGGTTTTGTTATACCTGAATCATTTCCAGCCTACTTCATCTCTACCAGGGCAGGAAATTACTTCTCATAGACAAGGGCTGCTCCTCTTCAGCTGTGCAACAGAATCCATGGAAACTAGAACTAAATTAGCAACCAACAGTGAAGAATTTGTTGAGGGTATTTAGCAATATTCTTCAAACTATCCACAGACTGCCTGACACATGAATACTACTTCTTTATAACTGTCGGAAAACTGTGTGTGTGAACAAACTGCAATATTTGCAGCTGTTCTTTGCAATTATTTGTCTCACTCCAATACAGAGTAGATATCTAAAAACACAAAGGTACCATTATTGTTCCTGGGTTACATAAGATATTAAATGCCCCAAATTTATTTGAAAGCTGCAAAACTAAATTCATTTCAGTTACAGACTTTAAATTAATTTTTCCTGAAGAATGTCCATATCAGTAGATTTTTTTTTCATTTGAATTTTAACAAGAAATATGAACAGAAGTTCCAAACATGATTAATCCTTCTAGAACTCTTAGAATCAGTTTCCTTCTCTCTACTAGATAGAGGGAATGGAGAAAAAGAAGCTCTCTTTGCTGGACATAAGTAAACTAAATTGAGCAATTAGTACAATTATGGTATTGTGGCAGGATTCAGCAGGTGGCATTGTTACACAGTCTTCCATGTTTTTTTCTTAGTGTATAATGAGCCATTAAGTCTTGAGAAGACGCTGTGCAAGGTTTTGTGCAAAGCAGCATGGTAGAGGAGGGGGAAGGGAGAGAGTGCTGTGCATAAAGAAGGGGACTTTGCTTTCTGCCTTGGCCTCAGATTAGAATTTATTTTTGAAAGAGAGTCAGTGTTACTCTCTGCTACTTGGGCAACCGGGTTGATGCGTTGATACTGAAAAAAGGAACTGTACTGCATGCTGCTTTGCTCATCTCATTACAGGTATGGACACTTTAATGAAGCAATTTATGCTTAAGAATACTCATTGTCCACTATTTACCCTTTTCAAGGAGACTGACCTGTATGGTCCTGGACATCTGCTACTTCTTATAGCAGAGGAACACTGCTGGTGTACAAACAGGATGCTGATTGTGAAGGAAAGTAATTCTTTAATATCAATGCAATCATCCATAGCCTTTTCACAACTGATACAAACTATTACGCAGCCATGACCAACAACATCATAAACCATCTGAACTATGCAAGTCCCACCACCAGCACATGGTTACAGCCTTTTGAAATTCAAAACAAGATCCATCCACAGTGATCAAATCTCAGAGGATCATTTCCCAGGAGGAGTACAGCCCTCTTTCTTCTGTTCCAGTTGCTGCAGTATCAGGGCTAGTGCAACAGAAGCACAGACAAAATCTTGTCCTTTCACCTGAAGTTAGCCAGCCACTCCTGGTTACTTGATGGTCAACTTGATAACACCATCCTTCAGCTATTGACCAGATGCAAGAGCATCTCTACCTGATGAGCATCACCCCCAAATACTATACGAGACCAGTTAATTCAGCATGGAGCAAGTTTAACTCATTTGTAAGTGCAAGTTACAAATCAGAAGAATATGTCTTCTGATATGCCTCTCTGCATAGGAGCCAGAAAGCAGTTTGTTACAGTCACCTGGAATAGAGACTAATTCTTGAATTCAAGCCATAAATAGACTCATGCTTTTAGCTCTGAAAGTCCCTGTTTCAGCCTCTGCAGGACTGGCCACCAACTGCAGACCTCCAAGGAAAACCTGGCAAAGTTTCTTGCTGATCAAGAAGAGGGAGGTGTATGTTTATCTTGGCCTCCATCCCAAGATATGGACGCAGAAATATCACTGGTACACGGGGGACTGTGGGAAAGCAATATCTTCTCCAGCCCCCTAGCAGGTTCTGAACCTAGCTGCACCTGCTTCAGACAGTCATGCTGGGACACCCAAAAAAGTACTGCTACTGCGATGGTACAGTACAAATGCAAGCAAAACCATGGAATTGAGCTGGGGATGTGCGCCTAGGATAAACACTTATCCATATATCAGTGTAATTATCTGGTGTATATGCAGCCCCAGGGAAGGGAAAAGCCACTTGCTCCACTATATGTCTTCTCATATTGGATTGGAACATTTAAAACTAGAACAAACAGTAGAAAATGTCCTCATGGCAACAACCTTGAAAAAATGAACTGGATGATGTAACCATAGAGACTAGGTTGGTCAAGACCTGTAATTACAAAATGCACAAGCAGTGCCCAGAGTGCTGATCATCCTCAATTCAGGAAGGTGCCTTTGCAAAGCAGTTTTACTGTGGGGATGGGAAGCATCCAGTCAACATTAAGGATTACACCAAAAGAAATCTCATGAGGTTCAATAAGGACAAGCACAGAGGCCTGCACTTAGGGCAGTAGAATCCCATGCACCAGTACAGACTGGGGGCTGACTGGCTGGGCAGCAGCTCTGCAGAAAAGGGCCTGGGGGTTATAGTGAGATGGATATGAGTTAGCAATATGCCCTTGTTGCCAAGAACAACAGCCCAGTATGCTAACAGCATACTGGGCTGCATTCGTAGGAACACTGCCAGCAAATCAAGGGAAGTGATCATTTCCCTCTATTCAGCACTGGTGAGGCCACATCTGCAGTACAGTACTGTGTCCAGTTTTGGGCCCCCACTATAGAAAGGATGTGAATAAGTTGGAGAGAGTCCAGTGGACGGCAATGAAAATGGTTTGGAGGCTGGGGCACATGACTTCTGAGGAGAGAGGCTTATTAAGTCTGCAGAAGAGAAGACAGAGGGGATCTGATAGCAGCCTTCAGCTACCTGCAGACTGGGGCCAAAGAGGGTGGAGCTGAACTGTTCGTGGTGATGACAAAACAAGGAACAGTGGTCTCAAGTCGCAACAAGGGAAGTTTAGGTTAGATATTAGGAAGACTTTTCTCACTAGGAGGGTAGTAAAACACTGGAACAGGTTACCCAGAGAGGTGGTGGACTCTCCATCCTTGGAGGTTTTTAAGGCCTGGCTCAACAAAGCCTTGGCTGGGATGATCTAGTTGGGGATGATCCTGCTTTGAGTAGGGGGTTGGACTAGATGACCTCCTGAGGTCCCTTTCGACCCTCATTTTCTATGATTCTATGAACATCCAAGGAGGGGCTTTTCTGTTGCATATTCAAAGTGGCAAACCAATCACATCAAGAAAGTCACTTGCTGTTTTTCCTACAGAAATTAGTTTTTTAAAGCAATCTCTCTCCTAGTAAATACAGGGTGCATCTACATGAGAAGTTTACTACATAGCTGACCAATGAACTTTACAGTAAACATTTCTTAGGGCACACAGAACTAATAAAATCTGTAGCAGGGCGGTCTTGTAAAATACAAGTACTACCCCCACTGCGGAGTTTTTTTGCGAGCAGCAGTGCATGTGTAGATGTTGCCCTGACAGGGCAGATTGCCTCAGTGCAGGGCTAGTCAGTAGGCAGCCCCCATGCTGAGGCACCCTGCACCCCAGCCAGCCGCTCTGCAGCACACGGAGATGGGGGAGCAGCCAGCCCTGAGCTGGCTGCTTCCCTGTCGCCACATGCCTCACGGGGGCTCCACAGCGCATGGAGATGGGGGAGCAGCCAGCCCTGGGCTGGCTGCTCCCATCTCAGAGTACCGCTCTGCAGCTGGCTGGGCCACAGCGTGCCTCAGCAAAGGGGCTCTGCTGCGCTTGGAGACAGAGGAGTAGCCCTGGGCTGGCTGCTCCCCCATCTCCATGTGCTGCTCCGCAGTTGGCTGGGGCACAGTGTGCCTCCGTGTGGGGGCTGCCTGCCAGCTAGCCCCGTGCTAAGGCACTCTGCACCCCAGCCAGCCCCCCTGCAGCACAGAGCCCAATCACAGCAGCCCTGGGCTGGCAGGCCGACTCCCTGGGTCCCCTGCCAACCTGGACTGCTCTGACCAGGATCCATGTGGTATGCATGAGTAAACTCCAAGGCAATTTGCTCTGGAATTTTTTGCTCCCTAGCACATGATCAAATGGTACACCCTGGAACAAAAAGCTCTGGATAAGCAATAAGCTCCGGAGTTTATTGGTCTGCAGTAAAAGTACATGAAGACACACCCACAGGGTAAGCTAACAGGTAATCCCCTCCACAGTCCAACAGTCTCCATGCTACAGATCAGCTGAACAATGTGTGGGGTTTTGGACTTGAAACATCCCTCAACAGGACTCAAGGCACCCCTCAGAAAATGCACCCTTCTTTTCTGTAGTCAAAAAATTAATGAAAAACTAATAAATCAGTTTTCCTGTTACAAAGAACTCAGAAAGACCCCAACAAGTCAGAATGTTTTTAAGACTCTGGATTCCTATTTGAAATTTCTCATGCTAACATTATGTGGCACCCCTCAATACCCTTGAAAGTATCTCAAGGCACCCCAGGGTGCTGCAAGACCCTCATTGAGAATCACTGGGGTGGATAGTAAGGATTAGCTTTGTAACAGCACTACTAAGAGCAGAATGCAAGACTGAAAGATTTCTCCTAGAGTCCATTTCCCTCATATACCAAATTTGGGAGGATAAGGAACAACAAGGGAAAGCTAAGCAGAGAAGATGCTGGGGAAAGGGTAGATTCCTCCAAAGAGTTATCCATACAGGTCATAATTTTCAGAGCTGTTGGGACATCTCCTGCTCCCCATGGCTTCAAATGCAGGTTGGGCAAGCTCAGTAATTTTGAAAAAAAAAAAAAAAAAAAAAAAAAAAATCAGGACCACAGTACCTAGGATAGTAGCTGCCCACCATCTTAGGCCCCGAGAATAAAACAGCAGCCTGCAATACCTGAACCTTGGTAGATCAACATGCTCCCAAGTTAATAGTACTGAAGTCCAGGTCAATGGGCAGGATAGAGCACCTCAAGCTCCTTATGAAGGTCTTTGTGCTGGGGCAGATGGACTTGTCAATACAAACCGAACCAGCTAGTAATGTTCATCAAGCACAGAAGTTGCTGAGAGCAATCTGGGTATGTGCAGCTATCGCCAGATGCAGTAAGGCATTTTGATGTTTCCATTACCTCACAGAAACAAGTTTACTTGAGTCCATTAAGGGGCAAACAGGAAACTACTTCATTAGCACAGTGTACAATCAGATGTTTGCTGGTGAATCTTACACTCACACACACACACACACACCATACTTGCTGGCATCCTGAATCAAAGAAATAAGACACTGTCCTGTCACCCTATGGGTTCTGCCTGAGTATTAACTGGGTGAGCAGTTTGCAAAGGAGGAGTGTTCCAAGGACTTCCTTCTTAGTTCCAGGACACCCAACCAGATAAAAAGGCAGGCTCAAAGCAGAGAAACATGCTTTTGTGGTGCTGAACACAGAAAAAAAATGTCTTCCCTTCAAAAGGAATGCTTTCAAACCATGGCCTGTTAACTACTTAAATTCCTTGGGTAGGGAACAGGTATCAAGGCATTTAGATGGTATTACGAGCCAGGCATCTTGTGGCCCTTAGGCACAGATTTCCTCAGTCACAAATGCAGTGGGGACCTGCTTTATCCTCCTGAGCAGGAGACCTGCAACAATCAGAAGCAGTCATATCAATGTATGCGCAGGAAAGGCAGAGAGGGACCCCGGCAAAGCAGAACCATAAGGAATCTTGGCCCTTTCAGCACAGCACGCATTAGATGACAACGCTTCTTCCACTGCGGGAGCTTCCTCGATCCTGCAAGAGAAAACAAGACACACTCAGAACTGTGATGGGAAGCACAGAAAACTTAGAGAGCTGAGGGGTACAGCAAGATGTTTCATATCTGCACTAGTGCCAGGGCTGAATCCGAGGAAACTTAAAAGGGGGAAAACTTCTCCCTGTAGCATGGGGAAGAGTGAAGGGAACTGTGAGGCATGACCTATCTGAGAACAGCCCTGTATCTTAGTGTCCCACACAAGTGAATTGGGGGTCACTGAAAAACTGGAAGGTGTAAAAATAATTAGGGAACAAAACTGGATAAAACTGGAGGCTGGGAATGGGCTATGAGGTCTTCCATACAGATTGCCGGTTCAAACCACATTGCAGGCTGAAGAAGGAGAACGGAGTGAAAGACTGTTCAGTGCCTTATGTGACAACTTCAGTTTTAGGTGGTGCTGTATTGAAGCTAGCCCAGGAAACACACAAGAGGCATGGTCTTTGGGCCTCTCTCTCTTTATAATATCTATTCTTGAACCAAGAGTATAACTGAGAGAGATCCAACAAAAAAATATCACCAAAGAATCCTTGCCTCTTTTATATTTCCTGGACCATCATGGCCACAACATCACTCTAGCCCTACTACCACATGGAGTATATTGAAATTTGCAGTTTACAAGGGGCCTAGATGTGAAGCAGGGCAATATGTGCTTGAAAGCTTGGCTAATATCCGTCCCAACTATGCAGTTGGTCCAATAAAATAATATTGCCAAAAACCCCTCGCCTTCAGTTCTCCGTATAGGTTCTTGTGAGCTAGATATCCTTACTAGAATGGTTTGGCATCTTTAAAAAAAAAAAAAAAAGAGGCCCACTAATATAGGAACTTAGATATGACTCTGAGCACTTATGTTTGAAAATTGTGGCCATATAAAAAAATCTTAATGGTATTTATAAAGGTATGCTAAATTGTGTTTCTAACATCATGATTCTCAACCAGTTTGGACCGGAGTTGCCTCTTATCAGACTCAAGGCACCCCTCTATAACTTTGTGAATTGAATCACACCCAATTTCAAAAGCTAATTTATAGATTACAGTACTTGCCTCCTTGCAGGGCCAGGGCTGGCAGTGGGGATAGGGGATCATCTATGCAGAGACAAGCCTAAGTCTGCTCTACCTGCTTAGTTTAGCTGTTTACCCCCTCACACCTCACAGCACCCTTCAAAAAGGTCTGTCAGCATGCCCTGGCACCTTAGCTGAGAATCACTGCTCAAACAATATATATGTTGTTTTTTTTTTACATGGAAGTAATAAGCATAGGAAAGATGGAAAGAAAGCAACAGGGAAAAAAGGGGGTTGATTATGGGGGACTCTCAGCACATCTAACTTGGAGACCTCCTTCTCAAGGTAGCCCCAGGAGGAACCACCTATTTATCTGGGACAGACCACCACCACCAGTCAACGTGCAATCAATTCAGCACCTTCTTCCCAATCTCCTGAGGCAAGCTGCAGGGTACCCAGTGCTCCCTGACCTCTACCTTGACATTTTCTAGACTGCAGTGAGTACACAGCACCCATTAAAAGCAAACCTGTCAGAGAGAAACAGTGAGGACTCACCGATTGCTGCCCTGTGCTGTTTCTGGGCTTGCCACTCTTGGTCGGGATGATCTCCAGTGAGCGGTAACTGGGAGGTTTGTCTTCGGGCCAGTTTGGGGAACGGTGGTGGCGTGGCCTGCGGGTCGCTGGGGAATGCTCCCGCTCATCCATAGAGCTCCATGACTCTCTCCCTGAGGGCGGAGAGTAGCTGCGAGGCCGCCGCCGCTTCCAGTTCTCTGAATTGTTGCTCCGTCTGGTAGGGCGCTGATGGTCTCGTCTCCCCGAGGCCTGGGGCCTTGAGTCATAGTGGCGCCCTGAGTGCCCCCTGGTTTCTCCCTCCCCAGAATAGGAGTTGAAGTTGCCACCATTCCTACCCCTTTCTGGCTGTCTTGTAGGTGACGTGTCCCATCGGGAGCTCTGGCGCCTGCTATTGTAGCTGGCATCCCTCTGCCTTCGAGGATGCTGGTCTCGCCACCTGTCCCAGGACCCCTGCTCATAGCTGGAGTAGGAATCTCCATCCTGAGACTGGTGTCGCCTCCTGTTTTCCCTCTCATCTTCTGTTGCAGAGTCCCAGGATCCTGCGGTCCGGGCAGGTCGCTGCAGGCGTGACGAGCTGCTGGTCCTCTGTGAGGAAGGGGCACACTCGATGATGGGAGGCAGATGGATTACTCTACGCTCCACGATCTCCGAGTTCAGGGAGGAAAGGATGCTGGAATGCTGGCCAGCCCCAATTTTTTGGGAGGGTGGCAAGGGTTGGGAGGGGTTGAATTTTTGGATCTCAGATTCCAGATAGTCCAAGACCCTGTTGCTGGGAGGCAACTGCCCCTGTGATGGCACCATGGGGAGGCTGCTCTGCAGAGAGACATCTGTGGATACAGGACAGATGGAGCAGTAGTGTGAGATGTCTCTCTTGCTGCTAACATCCAAAAGGGTCTGAACCAGGAGATTAGAGCCTCTTTTTCCTCCTTACCCATCCCTTCATTGTGACCTTCTTGCTCCCTCACTTCTTCACCACGTCAAGGGGACCAAAGACAAACTACCAATGGGTGAGAGCATTATCTATGCTCTGGGGAACTTAAGCAGCAAGAGATCATGAATAGTATGTGTACATGTATCCTTGATGCTCTCAAACATGTCCTGACCCTCTGCCCTGGCCCTGGAAGGGAGGCAGTGAAACTGTTCTGGACCCATCCCCTATTGCTACTCTCAAGTGTGCAGGAGACAAGGAGCCAGGGAATGGTGGTGGGCCTACTCTCACAGTACCTTCATCTCCTCATTTCCAGATTTAGCGTATGCAAGAGGGAACAGGGCATGCTTGAGAGCAGTACCTACTCTGTTGGGTACTTCCTAGGATTACCAGTCTAGGAACCATTCTTCTGATTTAGGGCTGGACAACTAAGCAGCCAGGGGTCACGGGACTTCAGGCTGCACCTTCCCCCCGCCACTGCAGTATATGTGCAGGCAGCCCTACTCCCTCCTCACTCACATTGCTGCTCTGCATGTGAGCTGCCCCCTCCTCAGCTCCCTCACTGCACAGTGCTGTGGGCTCCCCTAGTGCTGTGGACTTCACCACTCCATTCACTGAGGTGGGAGCAGGAAGCAAAAACTGAAGGAGGAAAGAGACCCTGGCTGCAGCAGGAACCAGAGCAATGAGGGGGATGTTAGCTTGGTAGGGGCTCAGCGGCTGCACATTAGCCCCTTGCAAGCTGCATGCAGCTTGGAGGCTGTCAACTGGACAACTCTGTTCCAATTTGTATATTCGGAGGAAAATCCGTTTTCTGTAGGGAAGAGATAACAGTTCACTTCCTTATGGGCTACATCAAAAACCAAAAGGGAATGCCTTGGTTCACACAACAAATATTGTTAAGCTGGAGTTAAATACAAACTCTATTCTCTTACAGTAGTGATTAAAACATTTTGGAGATTAAAAGTAGGGGAGCAGACTGCAAACTAATTTAAATGAAAATTAAGAGAAAAAAAAAATGGAGAAGAATGGAAATACACAGACTCGAGGCAGCCCCAACTCCACCCTTTCCCTGTGTCAGTATGTACCCACGTTTTGATGCCTGCATGAAAGGTGTCAGACTACCCACATTGTACATCACGGTGGCTCAGTCTCAGACTCATTTTAGTAATAAGCTGATAGAGCACACCATGTCTAGAAATCTAAGTGTAGCCACAAAACTGGGAGCTGTAGGAGTTAACTGACTGGCTATCCAAAGCTAACATGCACAGGAGTAAGGTAGGCAAAGTCAGTCATAAAATATCACTGATTACATATTTCCAACAGTGAATGCAGAATCTATTAATCATACTTCTTGAAACTACAACAAAAGATGCTTTTTAGTACAGACATATAGTTAGTGGAACTGCTTTGTAAAACTTGTTTCAAGCTGACTGTGAACAAAAGTAGCATTAAAGTTATTTGGGAGAAAGTTATGCTGCTCTCCCCTATTTTCTGAATGTTTATGTATTTTGTTTTATTTCCCGTAATAAATACTTTCCTGCTTTGCTATGGTTAAAAACAACAAAACACATTTTTCTTATTTTTCCCTGCAAGTGTGTGTCAAAAACTGAAATCTTAATTCACTTTGGGGAGGAGGCCACCTAGAAAGAGATTGTAATCAGAGACATTAAGTTTCAACTCCTCCTTTGTTTCCCAGTTACACATAATATTGGACGTCTTCTCTCCAGTGTCATTGGAGAGAAAGCTATTTGTTCTCAGTCATTTATGCAGACTAGCACCACACAAACAAGTTGCGCTCCACTTAACTGTGTCAGCGTCTGCTATAAGGGATGGACCATGACAAACACAGCAGGACAGAGACTGTATTCTTTCCTCCCTTGGGAATGAGATGGCTGAGGGAGTGCTTACAGTCACTTCAGCATAGTTCAGAGCTGGCTGCAAGCCAGCTACCCATAGGAATTTATCTGTGACAGCATGGAGCTTGGCACAGATCACCTCAATGTTGTCACCTAGCTTCTCAAGCTGGTTTTTGCAGCCTGTGCCAACTTCTGGGCTGGTGTGGCCACACTGCTAAGAGTACTCAAGTTCGCCAGTTTAAAGTTAATGCTGGTAAGTGTACACTACACTGCAGTTAGAGCAACAATTCAGTGAAGATGCATCTGAATCATGGCAGTAATGTCTTTTTACCACACCAAGGCCTACAGGCTACAATCAAGCCATTAGACCCCAAGGAGTGGCCTAGTTCAGTTTACCAGCCTTCTCTCTCTGCAGAGACACCCAAGGCCTCACCTCGTTGCAGCAGTGGGTTTAGCTGGTAGGTAGAGAGTTTGGAGTTCTTGTCACCTCCCATGTAGAATGGAGATTGTGACATCCATGGCACAAGGGAACGAGTCTGCTTCAGGAACCGGTGTCGTGCCAAAACTAGGAGGGAAGAGACACGTTTAAAGAACCTATCCCCAGTACCCATCCCTGCAGCCCACACCAGCCAGCTTTCCTTCATAGGTGGCTGCATGTGGATGTCAGCTATAGACAGTTAAGAAAGCAACAGCATAAACAGCCCTCTTCATCATGGGGCAAACCTGAAACAAAGAGGAAAAGTTTCCACCATGGAGTGAGATGCCACAGAGCTGAGGTTGTGATCCAGCCAAAGGCATCTGGGAAAGTTTCAGTGTCATTGATAGTTACAGACTGTACCTTTAAAACATGAGGGGTATTTTTACACATGCGGCAGGGAGGGTGCTTTAATTAGAGTGGCTCTGAGCTTTACTTAAAGGGCTCCACTGCCATTTTGAACCATAGGGACAATGATACACGAGATGCAGAGGCTGCTGGAGCACACGAATCAGCATGTTCCAGCAGACTCGATTAATTGAGTCTGCTCCGATGTGCTATAATTACAATGTGTCGGAGCAGCCTCCCCTCATGTCTACAGGCACAGTCTACTTCCTTTTTTGCTAGGGGCTGGATGGTGAAGAGGTTAATGCTGTTCCCTTTCTTTATAGTGCCAGGTACCCTTCTTTCTTCTTAACCCAGTTCTACTTCCCTAAGCCTCATCTTATTGATGCCAATTTCCATTTCCCTTTTTCTGTCCAGACTTGCAGTAAAAGGGGTCACAATGAGCTCCTTGCCCCCTTCCATGCAGACTTTCCAAATCCAGCCATTCCATCATCCACAGTATATCTGAAAAGCCACCCTTTCTTCTCTCCCTCAAAGCTAATGGCACTCAGCTCCACCCTGCCCTACTTTTGTCTGCATTATTTCAACCTCCCTCATTCTGGCCTCCCTGACACACTTGCTGCTCCCTTTATAGTACACATGCTAGAATTATCTTCCCTGCTCATCAGTTTGTCTTTCTCCAACCGCCTCCCAGCTCTGAGTTCAGAGATTTTGGGGAAAAAAAAAATAATTCCCCTGTTCCACCACATAGAATGTAATCCCGTGGGTACGTGAGGAAGATTCACTTTTCATCTTTTAAAAGGTTGTAGAGACACTAGTCCTAATTCTAGAGTGAGAAATGCTGGTGTGAGAGAGTTGGAAAATAGGTGCATGTGGCAGAACTTGGCCTTGTTTGGCATTTGACAGACATGGAGAACAAGCATCATTTACTTCAGCAATGGAGTAGGAGAGGTTTGTAGGAGAAAAAGGCAGCAGAAAAGAAGGCATGTCATGCACACATGCCTTCACCCTGAGGGTGAAGTTACATGTTAAACTTACACCATGCTAAGGGTACTTGAAATGCAACTATCTGCACATTAAAGCTCATTAACTCATGCAAAATGCCTTCTGAGCATCTCAAAGTTAAGCCACCTCAGGCAAGGATTAATTCTGGGCTCTGCTAGTTAGCTCACATTAGGGTAACTTCAGTCTGCTCCATGGAGAAAAAAAGAGCCATTTGCAATCTTACAGCATCCCAGGATGCACTACCCCCACCCCCCACCACTACCCAGAGCAGGGGTAGAGCCCAGGCATCCTGGCTCCTAGCCATGGACCTGCTCACCAGCCCACCAGTGGCATGTCAGAGCTGTGCAACCAAGAAGCCATATTAATGTGCCATCACTCACAGCATGTTCTAGGGTTAAACTTTGACACCACTTAACATTCCACAGATTTAGTATGGTCTAAGTGTAACATGTAACTTCACCCTCATCTTTTATGCCAAAGGTCTTGTGTGAGAGCTATGGGAAAGGCAGCTGTTTGCAGCAGGGATAAGTCTAGTCCATTATACTTTGGTTTTATATCCAAAATAAACCCTCCAAACCATGCAAAACTCATTCGATTTTATGACCAAAATCAACACTAAGCCTAATAAGGACCTGGGCTTTGAAATAACAGTTACCTACACATCAGTGGCACTTTGGCCTATTTCAGAAGATGTAGAGCACCCTCTTGTGGCCTGTATTTGCCAAGAAACTATAAATTTCACCCTTGCCGTACATTTCTTTTAGTGGGAGATTTTCATCTGAAGAGACCATATACTTTTGTTATACTGTAGACACATCAAAACTGTCCTGTATTTTATGGGATACTGGGACTTTTTGAGATGCCTCCAGAATCCCAGTCTTTCTTTGCTGAAATATACTAGACTCCTCACACAGAACACTCAGCAATTAATAACAGAAAGGAAAAAAAGAATGGAGCATGAGATGGCATGGATTGTGTGGAACAGCAGGCCAAAACCGCCTCTCCTCCCACTGAGTACGTTGGAGTCTATGTCCCCCAGATCCCAACATACAGAGAAAGAGAATGATCTGTGCTCTTCACCATGGAACCAGACAGGGGCAGAACAGCCCATGGTCTACTGACCACATGAGTTAGGAAGGGCAGGACAGGAACAAACAGAGGCCCTCCAGACTATCTGAAGATCCCAGCTTAGAGAAGTGAGACCCTACCCACATCCCCCCTCAGGCAGGGGCACTACAAGAATCAGAGAAAGGAAGAGGGGTCTTTATTCTTCAGGCCCCCGCCCCCCACCATCTCCCAGGGCCTGAAAGAAGATGAGCAGCAATATTCTCCTCGGGGACACCAACATCCCTACCAGATTTCAACCTCTGCCCTCAACTGTTTCACTTTAGAGCCCTTAAAACAGTCGTCATAATATTTTAACCCACTGAAGAAGGACTGCACTATGCACACCCCACACCAGAAATAGCTGAACAAACTATTTTGGGGGCTAGCTCCTCTGCTTCCCTTAGCCTCTGGAAATTTGCCAATCCCAACCCACCTTTAGCCATGTGTCTCTGAAAGGATATCCTAAAAAATGGCAGCTCCTTACTCACCAATCTGCTCCCAGTGGTAATCGGCGTCACTTCAGCTGGCAAGCCTGACTAATACAAGCCTTTGATGCACCTTATTTTTATTAACCCAGCAGAATGTGCATGGGTAAGTGAGGATATGGTAACAAAAGCTCCTGTTCCTGAGGGCCAAGCTGCCACAGTTTAGCTTCCAGTTATTATGAAGAAAGAACAAGCACATAGGCAGCCCCCATGAAGCAGCTAACATTTAGCAAACCCCTTGCTCCTCTTATTCAATGGCAAGTTGCTGTGTGGGGAGAAAGGAAGGAGCTGGTGGCAAGGACAGAGACAGGGTTGCAAGGTGTGGAGGACTCCTTTGGAAGTGGAGGGGCAAGGTGGAGGGCATGGGAGCCATTTTTTTAGACCCCCTTCTCTCACTGGAAGGTTGATGATGTGAGTATAACACAGCGTCACAGACTAGCTTGCTTCCAAACACATGGTTGAAGCAGGGCTAAACATGTTATGCAAGACACATTTTATGTTGCCAAAAGCAACAGCACAGGGGATATATATATGCACCCATACATTTGTCTGCTCCTCACCTTCTTCATTGCAGCAGCACTGAGTTGGGCAGCAGGGACACTGGATATGGCAGCAGCAGTATTGGGGACAACACTGGCAACAGCACACCCCAATCAGCAAGAGCAAGAGGAGACCACCAAGAACGATGAAGATCACGGTTAGCCAATCTGACATGGGGGAGAAGGGAAGACAGTGTTTGAGAGAGAGAGAGAGAGAGAGAGAATTTTTAGAGATGGTTGTGATGGGAGATGGTAAACAGCAGGAGTGACAGGAGAACAGACCACTGGCACTTACGTAAAACAATTAGCTTAACCTCTTTGTCAGGGTCACCAGATGTGTCTCCTGGAGCCTCAACAATACAGTAGTACATTCCATGGTCCCACCACATTACTTCATTAATCACAAGATCTGCTCCTAGAGGAGAGAGAGAGAAAAAATGCTAGGAGCAATGGGCACTTTGGGGCTGACACTGCTCTCAGACCCTAGTGTAACAAACACTTGTGCTGCAGATGACACAGAAGAGTGCTTGGTGTTTGCAGCTTTGATAGGGGGCAGTGCCCTTCATCTTCAAATAACACAGGACACTGAACTTTAACTTGAGCAATGGCTCCTCTAGTAGGTAAAGAAGTATGTCCCATATCTTCTGTGTCAATAAGGCAACATGACTAATAAGTAGTGCACTATACCCGGTCTCTGCTGCAAACACCACAAAACCTCTGTTGTACACACTTGTCTTGCTTCTTAGGTTTTCAGCTCATCATTTCTCTTCCCTCAAAAAAAATCTTCTTCTGGTTTGACCCTGATGGTCAGGGTGCTCAGTCAATCACATCACAGCAAGTTACTGAATGAGAAGAAAAATATCCCTGATATCACACTTCCTGTCCACTTCAGATCTAGCCACTGATGCACCAAGGCTGGTGTCCCAACATCTCTCAATTATGCCTAATCAGGACAGGGGGACATTGGGTGCCTATACATGAGCAGCAAAGCTGCTCTGATGCACTGGAATTCCAGTGTGTTGGAGCAGACCTGATTAATTGAGTCTACTGGAGTGTGGCATTTGCCATGCTCCAGCTGCCTCCAGCATCTTGTGTATTAGCATCTTTGTGTTTTAAAATGGCAGTGGGGGCACCTGAACTAAAGCTTGCTTGACAAGCTCAAACAACCTTTAGTTCAGGCACCCCTGCCACATTTTTAAGCATGGGGATACACAAGATGTGGCGGCGCTTTAATTACAGCGGTTCTTGGAGCCGCTCTAATTAAAGCACTGACCCCTTCATCCCCGGAGCAGATATAAAATGCTCATTAAGCCCAGTAAGTGAATTGCAGTAGTGGCTACCAACTACTGCTTCAAAAGAAAATGAAACCCACTTAAAAATGGCCAATTACTCAAAACTCTAGAATGAGAAAAATTATAGAAAACTGTAGGAATCATAGAGAAGTAGGGCTGGAAAGGATGTCTATAGGTCATCTAGTCCAACCCCCTACCTGAGGCAGGTTCATCCATATCCAAATCATTCTATACAGATCTCTTAGTAAAACTATTGTCAACCCTGACACAGCACAAGATGTAATGCTTTAACCTGCCATACACAAAGCAAGGGGACCATGACAGCCAAAATCCTGCTTCTGTAAAAGGCTGTTAATACATGCTCAAGAGATCCCAGGAAGAGGATCACACTCCTTTTTACAAAGGAAAGAAAAAAACCCCTACAATCTGTACCAATCATACCTTGGGGTAAAATTCCTTCCTGACCCCAAATATAGCAATTGGTCTGACCTTGAGCAGAGGGGCAAGACCCTCTAGCCAGTAACCTCCCGCTTTAAGTCCCAGTAAAAGCATTGGCTCACCCCATTCCAAATCTTCAGCCTTGGCTGCAGCCAATATCCATGCAATGCCATAAACACTAAGCTGTAGTACTCAGTTTACCATGCCAGATGTCTGAGTGCCATTATCTGAGCTCTTGCTTGGGGAGTTGTAAACATCCTTAGCAGGAATCTGGCTACAGCTCTGGCTCATAGACTTGTGTAAGTCACAGACACAGCTGGCCACACTCATACTTCACTAAGTGATTTCAGGCAGGCAGGCAAGATGTTAGACAGTTACTGCATTTGCATACCTCCTTTATAGGCCCCTAATCAGCTGGTGACTTACGGTTCTGAATGGTGATCTTGCGCTGTCTGTAATCTGTGCCAAGCACAGGCTCGTTCTGTCCGCGTTTCTGAATGATGTTGCGGCCCTCCCGCTGACTATCATTGCAGTCATCTGATGGGTCCTGGCCAAGAGCTAAACCAGCCTGGTAGGCTACAAATAAACCATTTTACACCGCTGAAATAGCAGCAATGATCTCAGTCCACCTTTAAGTGAAAAGCTCATCTTGATTTGCCACAAAGGGTGCAGTTAATCTCACATCCCTGTGTAATGAGCAAATATGCACTCAGACCCACCATGTTTGGTCATATAAAATGGAATAAGGAAGCAAATCTTTTACAGAATCAAATAAAATGAGTGGAGATGAAAAGTTAAATTCTCTCTGCCTAGCTCAGAGTGCAGGTACTGCAAAGAAGAAAAAAATCTTGCAACCACTGTGCTTAAGACAATGGGAAATCAGGAAGGAGGGGGAGGGAGGGGGAAAAAAAAAAAAAAAATCAGTCCTCCGTGTGTAGAAGGAATCAAAGACATACAGCCCATTGGAACAACTGAAGCAACCTCAACTTTTTAAAAAAAAACCCCACAACTTGGGTGGGTATAAACAAAACCACACAGATTTTGCCTTCTTTTTTCCCAGCCTTTCTATGACACCTGGCTTGCGAGCAGGGAAAGGACTGTGTCTTTCCAATGATATGCAATGGAGGGGAACCTAATTAATAGACCTGGGGGGAAACGTGGTAGTTTGTTTTCATACAAATAAAATGCAACTAAGCTAGCAACATAATATAGTCTGGCACTTGCAGGTGACCTGGTGAATTAATCATTTGGTTCATGAAGGGGAATTAATCATACGTATTTGCTACCCCATCCCTCTTTAACAGGGCTAGGCTCTTGGGGCTTTATCACAGACAAAAGATGAGGAAAATGGTTATTAAAAAGCTTCTTTGTTTTGACCTTTGGTACTCTCAGTGTAGCCGAGCAAGAGAGAGCATCACTGATAGTAATGTGATTGTTCATGAGTCTTTCTATTTTTATTCCCTTAAAAATGATAGTGCCCGGTCTCTTGCCTTCCAGCTGGGACCATGGGTGCCTATATTTTTCACCCCACCAAAATGGTTCTCAGATGTAGCCTTTTTGCTATCAACCATCACTGCCTGCGGGACTTTTGTTTCCAGCTACAGAGGCAGAGCTCCGAGCCTCTGGGTTCCATGCCTGCCAGTGAAGGTAGCAGTGCCACTGCCGTTGCATACAATGACAAGGGGGAAGATATACAGCTAGCAGTGAGATTTCTGTGGAGTAAAACTGCTCCCTCACTGAGGATCCCTACTACAAGCTGAGTGAGTCCAGGAGGCAGTTTACAGTAGACAACTGAACTCTCCCATACATCTCCCTTAATTGCATGGGGAATCCCTAGGAGGAGGAATATGGAACTCACAAGCAGAGTAGTAATCAAAGATGGGATCCTTGCAGAAGGATTTGAAGCGCCAAGTCACTATGACATCCTGTAGCTGCGCTGAGGTGCTGTAGTCACACTGGAGGATCACAGATGCAAAGAGCGTGGTGTAACGCTCCTTATCCTGTACTGTGACCAGCAGGGAAAGGCAGCCTGTGGATAAGGACACCAGTCAATGGGAATGGATATCACATAAAGACAGCCATTTGGGAGCAGACCAACAACAGCACCAACATTGTGCCCTTCTATTAAAACTTACCCCCATAGGATATCATAGCATTTCATTCACAGTACTTTAAGGGAAACCTCAGGTGCATTTGCCAGGGATCACACAGGAAGTCAATAGCAAAACCAGGACTAGGACTGGGGAGACCTACTCCTCATTTCTTATATATGGCACACATTAATCCATCTAATCTGGTTCCCATTTGAAGCGACCATTATTGGCCCTAGTCTGAGAAAAAAGAAAGCAATGTATGAACGATGCACCCCATAATGTCTTTCTTTGTGTAGTACTAGGACATGGGGAGAAATGTCCACCTGAGCCATGTTTGTGACTCTTTTATGCTCTGAAGCACGTGTTCCTACACACACTATCCTACTAGCCTCTGCTTCCCCACTTTTATATATAAACAGTGATTCTCAACCTGGGCACCTGAGAAACTCAAGTGTGTTGCAGGGTGCTGTGCAATATTAGCACTGTTAGGTGTGCATACATTCTGACCTGCTGTGGTCTTTCTGAGTTCTTTGCAACAGAAGAATTGATCTATGATTTTGCCATAGTCAAAAAATTAGCAAAAGCCAAGAGCTGAGGGGTGCCTTGAGTCTAAAAAAGTTTGAGAACCACTGATACAAAAGCACCCAATCATTTTTGTATTGTTGGACTATTTGCCACAATATTATCTGGCAGCAACAAGGACATAAAACAATACTGCTTCTTTCCATAGTTCACTTTAACAGACCAGTTGAAGGCAATCTATTTATCATCAATTGTTCTTTATTCATTAGGTAGCTTTTTGTTGGGGTTTTTTGGTTTTGTTTGCCATCTTCTCATCTCATCCAGGTACCAGTCCCTTTGTGTCATTTTACATCCCAAATAATTGCATTTCCTGAGCAAATTTTTAAAATGTTTCAAATAAGCTATACATAAGCTCAGACATATTCCATTGTTTTCCCTATCAAATGTAAACAAGATAACACACAAAGAGATATGCTTGTTATAAATAATAGCAAAGCTATCGCCAGCGCCCTTAGATAAGGCAATACAAACACTGCGGAAGAAATGTAGGATACAGTACCTCATGTAAGGAAGGGCATGGCAAGGAAAGGATGGAAAAGCTTAAGGCAGAGATTGTCAAAGGCACAAAAGATACCCCAACCATCCTACAACTGAACCTCTGGAAAACATTACATTAATCACAACATTAACACATTAGTTGTGTGATATATTGTAACATGCCACACAAGCAAGCATCTATCATGCGATGAAGTGACAAACCAGCCATAAAAGATCTTGCTTGTTAAATGTGGAACATCTTTGTGGCTGGCTTGTATCATCCTTTAATTTGAATGTATGGCATGCATTTTAAATTCATAGTGAGACAAGCCCCTTGCTTTCACTGTCTCAATGTTTCCCTCCATCACTTGCTATCAGCATTAGAGTAAAGGGAGAGTGACTTCACAGTGACATCTGGATCATGTCTACTATCACCTTTCTTACAGCATCCTCTTAATGGAAGAGTATAAAGTCTTGCAGAAATGTTGCCAAAACCTTTGTGGAGACAAAGTCCACAGTTTACCACAATTTAGCTAGACGAGGCCAACAAAATGGGACTGAGAGAAGGTAAAGTGTCAGCCTCACTTAGCTATATCACAGCTAAGGCTGTCTCTCACCTCATCCCACCTAGGATTTCACAGCAAGATGACCATCTCACCATGAAAAAAACCACACACATACTTTTTTGCAGTGAAAACAACCATTAGTGACAAAGTATTTAGTTGATTATATAATCAGAGGATCAGACTCTAGCCTCTCCAGTGTTTGATCTACTGATTCTCAATCACGGTTTTGTAAGATCCTTTTAAGGGTGCCTTAGGGTGCCATATAATATTAGCACTGTTAGGTGTGCAAATATCTACACATGATTTACAAGATAATCCCAGAGATTTCAAACAGGAAGCCATAATGTCAAAAACATTCTGACCTCTTTCCAAGTTCTCTGCAACAGAGTGATGATTCCAGTATTTTTCTGTAGTCAAAAAACAATTAAAAAAAAAGATCTGGCTTTAACCAAGAGTTACCTTAAGCCTAAAAAGGTTGAAAACCACTGATCTGGTCAAAACAACAGAATATCCATTTGCCACAACATTCCTGCAACCATCTCTCTCAAGAAAGAATCAGATAGCTAGAATCCATATAATCCATTTAATCTGTATAGTTTTGAGCACCACAAATGTTTTTCAATATCACTGCCTCTGCTTTATAGATGGGGAAAGAGATGAAAAGGTAAGCCTAGTTAAAAAAAAAAAAAATATATATATATATATATATATATATATATGAAGAACCTACAGTACCTCCTCAAGGAGTCAGGATATGGAGGCACTCAACAGCTCAGAACTATCAGGCTAAATGAGTCACTGAAGGCCGTTTAAGTCAGTTTCAGAGATAGAAAAGCCGCAAGCCTAGTGCCCTACAGAGTATTCTGCCTCTCCTCTCTGCTTGAAAGAGAAGAGCCAGATACTACCCATCTACTGATACCTCACATGTGAAAGTGAAAATTCACTGCTCTTCCTCATTGATGAAGCCAAATTTTAGCCAGAACACAACATGGTAATGCAGCTCTTAGGATAGCAGCAATGTGCACACAAAACCCTGCTATTTTGTTTTCTGTACCAGCTCCCTAGAAAAGCTCTCAAACCTCATATTTGAGGCCAAATCATCCAGGAACTGTCCAGCCACCAGCAATCTTCCTAAGATCCTAGGATCCTTGCAGGCTGCTGGATGCCAGAAGGGAACAGGGGAGGGTTGGGAGCAACAATTTCTCAGGAGAGGGCCCATCCCCAGGAAGGCCTCATCTCCCAAGAGCAGCTGGAGCTCGGGCCCTCACTGCAAAGCACAGTTCAGTGGGGAGCCAAAATAGAGGAGGCCAGTACCACCACCTCTCCTTCCCCTTCCCCTGTGAAGGGCTTGGCCCCTCTACACAGCAGAGGTGACCTCGCAGAGTTGGACACGCTGCATCGCTCCTTCCCACAACTACCTGCCCATTTTGGAGAATCCAGCTCAGCCTGGCAAAAACCCAGCACCCACTTCTGTAGCAAGTGGTAGGTGCTGCCCCTGAGGCAAAGGGAAAGCTCCCAAAGAGGCACCCCTTCGCTTTAGCAGTTTTGGGGCTAAGGGACTGAGGAGGTGGTGCCCAAGGGCAAAGGGGTAGGAGGGCTGCAAATAGCAGGGGAAGGTTGCAGGGGGCAGAGCCCAGGCTGGCACAGCACCCACCCCCTGCCCACACTCACCTGCAGGCAGCCAGGTGAGGAGCAGCACCTGCTGCAGCCACCAGCTCCAGGCCATGGCACCTGCTTCTTCTGCCTGGATCCCTCACCCAGAGGTCACCCTGAGGCTTCCGGCGGGCCACCTGGCTCTGGCTGAACCTGTACCTGGCGCAGCTAGGAATCCATGCTCCCTGCCTCCTCCAGCTTTGCTCACTTCTTCTGCCTCTATTCCCCACCCCCAACTTCCCGCTATGCCTGGCAGGGAACAGTCCTTCCTCCCCCACACTTTTCCACTCCTCCCTCTCCACCTGCAGTGGCTGTTACTTTCCCTGCCCCTCCTAGCTACTATGCACCAAGGATCCTGAAAGTGTTGCACCCTCCTCTCTAAGGCTACAAACCCCTCCTCCTCTTGTCCCTCTTTCACTGTCACCTGCAGCTGCTTCCTCTCTCCCCAGTCACTCCTCCAGGTGAGACTCCGCCTTCCCTTCTTCAACTCAAAGATCCTCCCCAGACAGACCTCCCGGAGCCCTGGTCAGGGCTGCCCATCCCAGCTCATTATTGCCTGAGTGAGTTAAACTGGCATAAGGGCTGCTGGAAACAGAGACCTGGCTCTTAGCCATACTCCTGTGGATCACACCCTCCTTCTGCACACACACAGATCCAGCTCAGTTAATGTTAGCATAACCCCAGCTCTCAGTGCTTAGGAAGAGCCCTGCCTCCTGGTAGTACTTGGGATTTTTTTTTTTTTAAGCGTGTTGACATCAGAGGCTCCTCCCAATTCTGCCTTCCTTCCTTATGGGAAAACCACCATGTCTCTGGTTTCATGTAGGAGCAGACATGCGTGCTGAAGGAATCTATAGTTCTGTTTTACCATTCCAACAAAAATGCTTTCTCCCCCTGTTCACAAGGTGGGTGTGTGTAATAGGTTTAGGTGCCTTTTTCCCTTTGGCCTCTTTGATAACTGAGCAGTCATGCCCCCTTTAACATCAGAATGTCTGAATGTATCATGACTACTGAGAGACAGACAAGGTTCTTTGGGTAGATGTGATAACTTTTATTAGACCAACTAAATAGAATATTGAATAGAATATCATGAATATTGATGACGGTAGTCTTGCATTACTATGTCGAGAACTAAAACTACCCCTGCTTTACAGGACCGAGGCAGAGTTTTTGTGCGTGGGACCACATGTAAAACACAGGTTTCACATGTCAGACCTCACTGCAGTCTCAGATGTAGGGCAGCAAAGTAGTTCTAACTCTTGCTAAATCCAAACCTGTTGCTGCTGCTCCCCCTACGAAGCTCAACAAGTGGAAACTGGCTCCAAACAACTAGAACTAACTACAGTCTGGCCCTGAACTGGGACTGGCACTCAGGTGACCCCCTTCCCCCTTAAAATGCCCTAAACACAGGGCTAGAGAGTCAAGTTACCTCTCCCTCTGTCTCATTTGCCTTTGTAGCTGCCTCTTCCTGTACTAACAGAACAACAGTGCTCATAGTTCTTGCTGTTCCCTCCCCTTGAAATGTAAAACCCCCTGCCCTTACATTCTTTCCTTCCAGAGTCAAGTCACCTCCCTCTATACCCCACCCCGCAGCAGAGAAGGTGAACAGGAAGAATTCCCTTTATCTACTTCTCACTTAATCTCCCAGAAACTTCAGCATTTTTCCTGCATTTACTTCCTAGCTAAACACCCTCTGCATGCTCACAGGCACAATACACTGGTATGCAAACAATAAAGCCATTCCCCCCCACCCTGCGAGCCAAATTAATTGACTTCAGGTTCTAATACCTGGTAGTTCCCTTGCAATGGAAGCAGCTTGCTAGAGCAAGACCTCAAGTGAGACTTAATGAAAGAATTGTTTATGCATACTTGGGTTGTAATTTTCAAATGCTTATAACCTTGGTAAATATAAACCTAACAAAGCCTTTCTAGTACAGACCAAATTTTCAGCTTCAAACGTCCTCCATTTGGGGTGCAGTCCTGTTTTAAAAGAATAGGGTTAGGATTAATTTATATAGAGAAAAGTATGTATCTTTTTTTCAGGGACTTCTGAGGTAACAGCCACTGAAGAGATTTTGCTCAAACTTCCCACAAAAATTCACCCATTGAAAATAGGCCTGAAAAAATTCAGTCCAAAAAGGGTGGGAAACAATGGGGTGAGAGGTTGGTTAATTAATTGGACCAAAGGCAGTTGGGTGCCCAAAAAGCTTGTCAATTTTTTCTCCAATAAAAGATATCACAACAAACAGGCCCCTATCCCCAAACCCTTGCTTGTTGCATATTATCTGAACCCCATGCCTACCCTGCTGAAAGGTGAAAGTTCTGGAGAGTTATTATAACCCTGTGGAAATAGCAGGAAACAATAGATTGTTTAATAACCTTATGGTAGTGTTAAAGTGATGATGTTGTCACTGTGGTCTAGGAATCATGGGAAAGGAAACAGTTCTAACTATGCAGTTGGTCCAATAAAAGATATCAACCTAAGAAATCTTTGCCTCTTCAATATTCTTAACTTTGAGCATTATCATGATCTCTGGACTTGGCATGGGTCTTGTCACTGCTAGCTTTGCATAGGGCTGGTTAAAACACTGCTCGCAAGCCTGTGCTTTCAGGAGCTGCGTGACATGAGACCCGCAAGAACAAAATGAGATGTTGCTTGTGACCCCATGTTGCCAGGTTGTGTGGTACTAAATGCTTTGTGGTACTCAGGGATAGTTTAAGGACATCCAAGGAACTGTAGTAGTATTCAGGCAGGGCCAATGTGGTCCCCATTTTCAAGAAGGGGAGGAAGGAGGACACAGGCAACTATAGGCCAGTCAGTCTCACTTCCATCCTAGGCAAAGTCTTTGAAAAAATTATCAAGGCTCACATTTGCGAGAGCCCGGCAGGACAAATTATGCTGAGGGGAAAACCAGCACGGGTTCGTAGCAGGTAGATCGTGCCTGACTAATCTAGTCTCTTTTTATGACCAGGTTACAAAATGCCTGGATGCAGGAGTAGGGGTGGATGTCGTATACTTAGACTTCAGGAAGGCCTTCGATACGGTATCCCACCCCATACTGGTGAACAAGTTAAGAGGCTGTGATTTGGATGACTACACGGTCCGGTGGGTGGCGAATTGGCTAGAGGGTTGCACCCAGAGAGTCGTAGTGGA